ACCTCGGGCCAATATTCTCCCAGTACGGCCCTCGCGCTTGGTTAATAAGATATATATATTGTCTGGAATTTGTCTGTATATAATGATAATTATGAGGAAATAGTCATGATTACAGCTCAGTTTGATTGGGAAGAGGAATTAGTATGGATTTTAGAACTTTGATGATCATGTTGTGATGTTAAATGGTGTTGTTGTCTGGTGCAACTGGTTCCATTTCCATTGGCAACTTGTGGTTTGACCTCTTTCAGCTGGCATTAACAATTTATGTTAATGCTAATTAAGCAGATGCGTCTACTATTAGACTCTGGTTTGTCTATTGAAACTAGTCTAGGTCTGGTCATAGACTGAAGTTTTATACCAGTTTTTTTGTGTGTATATTTTGGTTCCCTTATCTTTGAGCTGCATGAGACAATGCATGGCTATTGAGATTTGGTTACCAAACAAATTATAGAAACCAAGAAACTGAATGCATTACAGTAAAATGATGAATTCATGATATTCATTCTAACAATGAGGTGGACTTAAAATAATTAGCAAATCTTGGTATGAACTGCTCAGTTTCTACTTTTTTCTGCAGGAAATCAAGGATTTAGATGAAATGATATCAGAAATTGGTGGAGAGTTGGGAAAATTTGCAGAAGAGGAAAAGAAGCAAGCTCTCAATGATATAAAGAAAACTGAGGTATATCAGTCTATGTCACTGAGTTATAAATGAGGCCATCCCCTTTTTTTTATTTTTTTTTATTGTTAAGTGTCCAATGTGTTTCCTGATATTGGGTGGGTCAGTCAGTCGGCCATTAGGATTGGGAAAAAAAAACCTGAAAGAAAAATCACAAAAAGTCTCTGAATAAGAGGCCTAGTACGCCAGCATCATTTAAAAAAATTTACTTATTTGGATTAAAAAAATGCACAATATACTATCAAACATATTCCAGATTTTGTTCCTGTTTTTCTCTATGCTATGTATTTGGATATAGTGAGACCCAGACCATTGAAGGTTTCAAATTATGGTTCAAATCGCTTACCCTCGAGAGGGGTGGGGGGTGACTTCTAATTGCTCCTTTGCTTGTGGACATTAATGTTCCCCTTTCCCTTGGTTTTTCTTCATGACCATTCAAGCTTCTTCTGGTATTGCATCATGTTACACTGTATGTGATGGTATGGTAGAAAGAAAAAGAGTGAATTGGTCAATTTTCCTAACTAAATTTTGTTTCTTTCGTAGGACGAGTTGCTCAAGGCTCTCATTCCTCAGGATGATGATGATGAAAACAGTGCTATACTGGAATTAAGGGCTGGTATGCAAGACCAATTAAGTTGTAAACTTAAGGCTAGCTATACTCTTTCAAAAAACGACAGGTACATGACTGTGGCACTGAGCAAATAAAAATTGCTATTATAATAATTGTGGTCTGCAGGCACTGGTGGAAAAGAAGCATCTTTGTTTACTGAGGAGATGTTGCCAATGTATCAGAGGTTGGTCTTAAAAGTGAAAAAAAAAACCCATTTGTTTTTTCAGTGTACAGGCAATGTATAATACTGTTAGTATCAATTTTAACAGACATTAGTATAATTTCAGAGCTGAGCAAAGAGTTTCCAGCAATCTGATTGGTCGAGTGGTTCCTTCTATGATGCCATATAAACCGCTCTACGCAGTTTATAAAAAATGTTAAAATAAAATGTTAATAAATGTTACTAAAATGATATGATTTTAGAAATTTCTCTGTTGTTGCGCTCTCAAATTATACTAAAATTATACTCGACTTTGTCTTGGGGATTATTCGACGATATTCACCTCACCCTCGGTGAATAATTGTTAAATAGTTCCTCAGTGACTATTTTAACTCCAGCCCATAAGTGATTAACTTGCAACTTCTCACTGTCAGTAATATTCATACATTATCCAGCAAACAGGTAATGAGAATACTCAAATGCATCAGGTAGAAATTGTTATCTTGATCTAACTCCAAATTCTCATAACTAATTTACAAGGAAATGTGTAGCAGCTAGAGGGGACGATTAACAGTCAGATCGTGGGTTAGGTAAAATTTAAACTGAACATGAGTTCTATGTTTATTGCACCACTGGAACAATAAGGAAAGAAGAACTGAAAACCCCACAATTTTTGTCTCCCCTGATCAAACACTAGGCTATCCTTTCAAAAATTGTCTTAAAAGGTGCCAAAAATTTTTCTGCATATGCCCCTATTTTGAATGTTGCTTAGCAACAACCTGGCTGCTTACATACATGTAGCACTTCAAAAAAACCTCACTCTTGTTTTCAGTAATCTGTTTTAACAATAAGGACTAGTTATGGGCATTCTTGATCCAAATTATGTTTTTTTTTTTTTTTGCCATAACCAGAACAGCAGCTGTTTGTGGACCACATATTGTGGTTGCATGTGCAGCCAGGTTACTGAGCTTTTTTTCAAAATGGTGGCATCATTACTCTGATTTTTAGTACATAGACCACTTTCATAACAGCAGGTGTAATTATCATTCTTTTAAGTGCATGCAAGTCATCCCTCTGGCCTTGCTTCTGATCAAAAATTCTTATGTCTTTAAACATGTGGTCTAGGCCAGACAGGCTTAGTTACATGAATATAAAATAATATTTAGAAATTATGAAAGAGGTTTATTTGAAGACTTACAAATGGTTTGGTTAATTTCTGAAATCCCAGAGTGTGGTAAGGAAATAATAATTGTATAATACTTTTTAATGTCTGTGATAAAGATTCAATCAATGGTTTCCGGAGTATACTTCTTCTTTTTATCTATTCTTGCCCACACCAGGTTTGCAGCTTACAAGAACTGGAAATTTGAAATTCTGAACATAAGTAAAAGTGAAGGTGGTGGCATTAAGGTAGATGTGAAAGTTTAGCCTGTAAAATAGTTTGCTGGAATTAGTTTTAATTCCTAGTGAATCGTAAAGTTAACACCAGTATTTCATCAGCCTTCCCTGAAAATTTTCCAGTACCCATTTGTACTTCTGGCAGAATAGAGGCATTGTTAGAGTAAAGTGTTTTGTCCAAGAACACAACATAATCACCTGGCTGGGTCTCGAGCACAGACTTCTCAACTCGGAGTTAGTGCGCTAACTATGTGTCAGATCATCGCGTCTCCAATACAAATGTGGAAGGTTTAGGGTAAAGTTCTGCGCACAAGACTTGTTTACCCTCAGCGACACTGTACGAGTTGAAATTTTTTGGTCAGGCTCTTCCACCCCAATTAATGAATCTTGGGGAATTTCCTTTAAAACTGAAGTAATAAAAACAATTCATGTTATAACTAAGAACTCTTGGTAACTTTGGTTTCACTCTGCTATTTAAACATGAATAGTTTTGAGTTGAATTTTGTTTTACTGTTTGTAGGAAGCTTCTGTGAGTATTGTTGGGAGTGGCGTATTCGGCACGATGAAGGTAACGTAAGGTTTTCCGCATATTAACAGTTAATTGTAAGGACGCACACCCTCCCGATATGGCTTAGCGTGTGAATAGGCGTGAAGATGAAGATTTGAGACGAGTCGGGAAGAGGTTTTCTGGGGGTCTGGCACTAGTATTGAGACAAAATATTGAAACCTTTCTAGGGGCCGTGATCGGAAACAAGTGCAGGGTCCTCTTAGGCCCTCTTGAGGGACGTAAAACAAACCACTACGGGGACGGCAACGAGGACGTGGAAATACAAGTGTTCTAATGTACCGATCAACAGCTGAGCACGTGCATTTTAAAACTTTCTACATATCTAAGCTGTCCTCATCCAACAACAATGTGAAATCACCAACATTTGTGTGGTCTTAGAGCGGAAACCGCGACGGCAAATTATTTAAGTTTTCATTTGGAACTCAAAGCTGCTCATGTACGTTACACTGTGGCTCCGCCGCAAGAAACGGTCAATTCTTCCAGCCATACTTGAAATATTAACTAAAAATACAAATTCCTATTTTAGTTTACGTCTTCCTTGGCGTTGTCGTGTTGACTGCGTAAGGTCCCTCTCTGCTAGACCTCCCCTGTAGGCTGCGTTGCTCAAATTCTCAAGCGCTTGTTTATTTAGGGTCTGCTTGCAGGCTAAATGTGGCTTAGGTTTGTTTCCCGAGCATGGTCTCAAATGTGGGTTGAGTTTATTGTTGATTGTCGACAAAGAGACTCTTTGGATGTGCCACCAATAAAATTCAATGCTTTATATCACATCTGACTGTTTTTTTTTTTCTCTTCAGATATCTTTCCTCCAAACCTGATTACTCACTTTCATAATTGTTGTTGTTGTTGTTTTTTTTTTTTTGCTAGTTTGAAACTGGTGTCCATAGAGTACAAAGAGTTCCACAGACAGAGTCATTAGGCCGTGTTCACACTAGCACTATGACCGTGGCAGTGTTACCTCAGCCTGAAGAGGTACAGTTACATTACGATCACGTTTATTGAAATCACCGCGTCTGGTGCGTTGAAATATTGGGAATATTGCTCAAACCTGAAAATTAATCCTCAAACTTTCTCACTTGTCTTTGGAAGCTTTTGGATAATAGAGAGATTTAGCACTGAGTTTAAGTGAAACGGCCAGCATCAGCTTCAGCCCTTTCACGTTTCACGTAAAATAGCGTGAACCTTGCTGCTTTAACTTCACGTGAACTCACGTCAAAGTGGATTTAAAGGTACCCCTGTGTGACTTACTAGCTAATCACAGCGCAGCATCCTACTTTATAAGAACACCCGAAACCAGTCGACCTCATCACGTGATGAAGACTAGCAGTGTGCAGTTGAAACGTTGCGATCCACGTCAGAAGTGACTATATCGTGAGACAAACGATAAATATATCTTATTAACCAAGCGCGAGGGCGGTACTGGGAGAATATCGGCCCGAGGTCTTGACAGTACGGACCGAGCGCAGCCTGGTCCGTACAAAAAAGAGCGAGGGCCGATATTCTTCCAGTACGGTCCCGAGCAAGCTTGGTTAATAAGAGATTTATTACACGACTGAAGTTCAAAGGGACACAAGTTCGGTATCATTCAGGACCATTCGGGACAGTGCTCGGTCCAATACTTAGAGAATATTGACCGGCAATAGAGCATTTTGATTGGTTGATTTTAGTTATTGGCCCCCTGACTTCCCGAGTCGTGTAATAATACTTTATAATTATTGTACTTTACGACGATGAATAAGCACAACCCTTTTTACTAATTAATGTGTATAGCACTTACTGTAGACGTAACAGTATTTGAAAGTATAGGGACCTTAAGCAGTCAGGACGGCAACGCCAAGGAAGACTTCGATTAAAAAATGAATTTCTACTCTTAGAATTTTAAAAATGGCTGCATGAGCTTACTGTCTCATACGACGCCACAGCTCAACTTCAGCATGACGTATAAAAGCAGCGTTGAGTTCCAAATGGAAATTAAAATAATTTGCCGTCGCGGTTTCGGTTCGCAGTAGACGCAAATTTTGGCGATTTCACGTTGTTGTTTTGCATAGGACGGCTAAGAAATGTACAAATGCACGTGCTGGGCTATTGTTCTGCCAATTAGATCTCTTGTTTTTTCCACGTCCTCGTTGCCATCGCCGTCGTGGTTGCTGAAGGTCCCTTACGATACAATGCTGACGCCAATTAAATTATGATACCTCACATTACACACAATACGTTTTTTTTATCAAAAATTTACTGGTACCGCTTTTTCTCCAGGTAGACGTGGTGATTAATCCAAATGATCTCAAAATTGATACATTTAGAGCATCTGGGTAAGTAACTGTACAACAGTACGAGGACGGTAGCAGTGTCGCACTTTTAAAACGGGTTGTTTTGGTTTATTTCAGAGCTGGCGGCCAGCATGTCAACAAAACTGATTCTGCAGTCAGAATAACTCATTTGCCCACAGGACTTGTGGTCGGTTGTCAAGAAGAACGATCTCAGATTCAGGTATTACATAACAAGCTGACTATACACGCATTTTGATTGGTTCTTACTTGTAATCTATTGGAAGACAGGCACATAGACGACGTCATTTTAACAACATTCTGCTTTGCTATCGTTAAAAAAAAAAAACAAACAAACAAATAGATTCCATGTCGCTGGGGTCTCTTCAGTAATTGATTACAGGAAACATCAAATTTTAATAAGAATATCAGTGACACTCTCGTCTGTGTCTTGTGTGCCATTTTTTTTGTTCTAACCACATTTTGTCACTATCTGTGATCAGTTATAGAAAAGACACACGGCAGCATGAAATCCATTCGTTAAATTAGAGCAGTATTTGATTGACTGTCGACAGCAAGCCGCGATGGCAGCGGTTTTTCTTCTGTACGCTCTGTGATTGGTTCAGAAAACGTGTGCCACCTTCCTAACCAAGCAGAGGCAAAAATTAAACCATTCGCTGCTTGTGTGCTTGCGTTTTCCCGCGCTTTTGGACATTTTCTTGATTTAGTACTATGAATTTCTATCGCTTCGATTTGCCTTTGTGTGATTACTCTAGTAGTGGTTTGACGACACTATTTATAAATGCATTTAATTTGTTTTTCCTCTTCTTCAGAATAGATTCAGAGCCTTACAAATTTTGCGAACCCGTCTCTACGATATGCAACGTCGACAACTGGATTCAGAAAGATCTGTAGCCCGCAGAAAACAGGTCAGCTGATTAATTAATGCCTAAATACAAACTTAGCGTTAAATGTGTGCGCATGCGAACTTTGCAGGGGCTAGCTAACGTACTTTCAGGCTGTCAGAACCAGTCACATAGTCACTAAGTTACTTAAGCGTATAACTCTTGTATAACTTTTGTGATAAAGTTTAAGACAAGAGGTTAAATCAAAAGAATGCCCGTTATTAAATACGCTATATGTTCGAAAAGTCTCGAGTTCTCCTTTTCCCTACTTCCGTTTCCTTGTGCAGATTTTCATTAGCGTTTCAATTTTTCTTCGCATTTTTTTTGTGAAATCGGTTGTATCATGAGTATGTTTTTCTTTGAGATAGTTTGCGCGGGAAATTGGTGCGCGGCCGGCCAAATTGAATCGCCGTGCGCATGCCCACCGTTTGAGCGCTGTGCTGCTGCCGTAGCACCAAGCAACCAGGGGTTTTGGTGTTCCTCCTGGTCGGGATGGTCGTCTATTTCCCGCGACCTCAGCATTTTAAGAAGTTTCTGAGACCATCCGCTGGTACACATTTGTATTATTGGGCGCAGGGAGGCACTGTTAGAGTCAAGAGTGCTCAGTTAGCCTAACAACGTAAAACTATGACTCGTCCAGGGCCTTGGCTTCTTGATCCAATGCACACGTGTAAGGGAGTTGGCTTGCTTGTATTGGCCATTTTGTTTTACCTTTTTGTGGCCGTTTTTTTTTTTTTTTTTTTTTTT